AGAAAATAGACAGCCTTAGAAATCCATGTTTGATACAGAACAGAATTCCTTTCATTTGTCACATGGAAACCATACCAATGCTAAAGGCTTGTTAAATGGGGAGAACCTCAGGGAAGTGGGTAACTGGATTAATTGTGTGGAGGGCTATACATGGTGAGAGAATTGGTACCCTTTTCTGAATATGCCTGCTCATTCTTAATCACGAAGCCAATGTTCTCAGCAGAGTTTTGCAAACTTGAGAATGATATTAGACACAGCAATGAAGAGACTGGGTGGGAGCACAGAGTCATCAATGATAGACATCAGCCCTTGACTTCTTTCCAACTCATATGTGGAATGATGCAACTGGACGTTTTGTTGATCCTAGCAGCAACTCTTTCTAAACTTGCCAAACACACCAAGAAGTCCACTGGAGTAACACTTAGCCCTTTGTGCACTGTCCAATCATTAGGTGGTCCCCAGTGCCTTGTTGGACCATGATGAAATCATACAAGGAGGAGAGGAATGAGAGTCCAAAACATGTTTTTCCAACGTGTTTTCCCCTAGAATGGAGGGTAACAGGTGCAGAGCCCCAGGGCAGGGTGATTCCTTGAGTTTCTGTATGGGACACAGTGAAGCAAAGAAAAGGCTGAGCTGCCAGTGCTGTGCTGATCACATGGACACTAATGTCTCACTGCATGGACTTCTTTAGAAATGACTCCCTGTAGTTTCCAGTTGTGTCCCTTTCTGACTCACTAGACTGGCAGACAGCAATACTAGGATTCAGCAGTGCCCTGCACAGAGAGCAGTTCTCTGCAGGGGATTGAGCCTGCCAACACCTGCCAGCTCCTTGTTCCTTAATCTCAGCTGACATTTTGGGCTTCGTCTCTGAATTGTGAAAACCCTGGCAAGATGTTGTCTGTGAGTGTTCTGTGCCTACTCCTGCACACTATACACACTTCACAGGGCATGACCCACAGGGAATGCAATAATTACCTTAAGCCAAGTATCAACCAAGATGGAGACCTGATCCTGGGTGGTTTTTTTCCCTCTCTACTACCCAGAACCAGAAAGCAAAAAGGTCCAGATGTCTTTTTTACATCGTCCCCAGTATAAAACTGTTGTATCTTGGTAAGTTCAAGATTGTGTGTATGCATTAAGTGTGGCTACCATTGAATGTGAGTGTGTGTTACTACTGTGTTTAATCCTTTCTGAGAATGCTAGAAGGTATGAAGAAAGTGCCAAAATGCCAATAAAGGAAGTTGCAGGTTCACTCCATTCTTGTACCTTCCGTGCCTTGCTGTTCATTTTTCTATTTGCTTCTTGGTCCTTCAGGGACAGAGAAGTGACATCAATGATTATCTGCCCACTCCATTGGCTTAGATCTCTCAAATACAGCCCTCAGCATCTTGGAATGAGGCAGAATGTGGGGACTCCAATCCTACCTGCATGCATGGAGTGGGCACAGGTGTCCTGAGGCACTGAGACCCTGGTCTGTGGTCAGTGTTAAGATTAAGGGGTCACTCTGATTTCCAGTGCTGAAAAGAGCATTGTCACTATTGTACCCAATAGTGAATCCATGTATATCTAAGATGTGCCACCATAAACAGACTTTGTCCCACGGCACATCATTAACTGAGCCCCTTCAGACTGCAGGCTTGAGTCCCTGAATGTAGCAAGATTAAAGGGATTTATCTTCCCCAAGACTTTCACTTGGATCCTGAAGGTTTTTCTCCAGGAACCACACAGAAACTGCATTAATTCTGGGCTTGACACACCTGTGCAGCATGTGTTTTAGTAACTGTTAACGTGGATGCCTGAAGAGGATTAGAAACAAGACATCCTGTCTCTGCACCCTTGTTGGTGGTGACAGTGGAGTGTGCTTCTGACTGCAGAGAACCACATGCTCATGTGTTCAGAAGAGAGTGAGGCAGAGAGATGTTGGTTTAAATGGAGCATGTCTGTTCTTATCAGCACTTTTGGAATTTAATGCTTATCAACTCAGCAGGTTGCCATGCACTATGGGCAACTGCTAATGGGCTGGTGACCTCTGAGGCACAGTGTTAAAACATGTAGTCTCTCCTAGTTGGTGCCTTCACAGTGTTCTGTCCCTTCTCAATGTTTCATTAAATTTCTTTGTGCATTTTTAATTTCTATATTATTAGCGAAAATGCCTAATGGGATATTTATGGTAAACACTTTATGCATGTGAATCTTCTGGTTATGTGGCAGCTACTGATTGTTTGTACTCTGTCAGATTTAGGGAGATAGGATGTGATTTTCTAAAGGTGAATTAATCTCTCATCTCAGGGACTCTGTATGGGAGACAGTGAGGAGCTGCCTTGTTCATGATCTCAGGGTGAAAGGTCAGCCCATGCCACAAACTGGAGGCCAGGCTTTGCTCTCTGCCTTCTCTTCCCCAGGTAGAAAAGTGTCTGGCCACCCTAATTTGTGCAGACCTTTAGCCCTCATGTGCTTGCCACACTCTAAAATTGCATTTGCTTCAATCTCCTTTAGTTAATATGGGCTCAGATGATTAATTTTTTGTGAAGTTTGACTTCAAGCTCCAGCTTCAATACTGTGATTGAACTTCCTTAAAGCTGATGGAAGTTATGTTGTTATTGGCCTGACAGGAGTTATTTTATGTGCATATCCCACATTTGTTTACCCAATATTTGGCCTTTGATTTGGCATTAATTTTGTGTGGCTGTAATACTCTAATGATCAGTTTTATTTAATAAACTGCATATTTCTCTGAGATGCTGGGGGTACATCATTAAATAATGAGATAAAGTCTTTTATCAAGATTTTTAAAAGAGTTACCAAATCATTGTTGATAAACATCTAGATGTTTATCACCTGCTCACAAATCCCTAACTCCTTTTCAGTGTCTCCACATCCTTCATTCCTTCTCCCCTACTGCGTACCACCCCTCTGTCTTGTGTCTCTGAGGGTCAGCCTATTACGGCCCCCTCATGTGAGTTGATTCATATCCTTTGTGGTCTTTTGTGACTGACAAATTGGAGTGCACCATGTTTCCTGTTTTATTCATGTTGTGGCTTGCAGCAACATTTAGTATACATTTCTCAAAATATCTTTTTTAAGATTAATTTTATTTATTTGAGAGTCAGAGTTACTCAGAGAGAGGAGAGGCAGACAGTGAGAGAGGTCTTCCATCCACTGTTTCACTCCCCAATTGGCCACAATGGCTGGAGCTGCACCCAGCTGAAGCCAGGAGCAAGGAGCTTCTTTCCGATCTTCCCACATGGGAGCAGGAGCCAAAGATTTAGGCCATCTTCTATTGCTTTCCCAGGCTATAGCAGAGAGCTGGATCAGAAGTGGAGCGGCCAGGACTTGAATCAGTGCCCCTATGGGATGCTGGCATTGCAAGTGGCAGCTTTACCTGCTATGCCACAGTGCTGGCACCCAAAATATCATAATATCTAAGTCTGCCTTGGTGTCAGACATTCCTGTTTACTCAAAATAGTAACTCAGCATGCCAGGTCCTGAAATTAACAACTGACAACTTTGCCTTCAGCAAAAAAGAATTAAGCTAGTCAACTTTCAGCTGACAGCAAGTGTTATAAATAACCCAAGGTGAATGCAGTGTGCTCTTCACAGTGAAAAATTATTCTACTAAGGCCAAAAGATTAACAGAAAATGTTTATTCAATGAATTTATTTTGTAATTCAAACAAATAAATTTAAGCTATGGACACATGCCACTAGCATAAATTCTGTGCCAGGTCAACCTCAATTTTAAGAACTCCTCTATGTGATCTGAAAATCTCCTCAGATTAAGTGTGTATAGAATGCTGACTTATCAATAAGACAAAATTCAATTTCAAACTCCACATATAAGAACAACATGTACAACACTGTGTGACCCAATAATTGGCAATCAGCAAAAATAAAGCACTGCCAATTAGAAACTTTTTGAATATGTATTATAATATTGAGGAAATGAAGAAATGACAAACTATTAGTTAAGCCCAACACAGAAACATAATATTCAGTGCAAAGCAACTAAAGGAATGATTGGATGAATATATTAAGTCCCATGCAACTTATTAACAGGTATGAATATTCTTAGCATTCAAATTCTGGAAGAAATGTAATAAGTTATAAAAGTTCAACAGAATTCCAAGGGAAGAAGAAAAAAAGAAACCCATAGTGAGAAAATAGACCATCCAATTTCTCATACACATGAAATGTGAGAGCTCTTAAATTCTAAGAAACTATTTTCACTCAAGATATATGCTGTGATTATAGAGTAAATTGAAATTATGTTATAGCAAAGATGAATAGAAAAAAGAGAAAGGAAGGAGGAAGAATTGAAGGAGGGAAGTGTGGTTATCTTCTTAGGACTGTATCTGGAATATATACAATCATATATCTTTGTATTAGTAACAAGTTTTTAAGAAGATATATAGAAAAAAGGATTGAACATACAAGTGTAAAATATGAAATGAAAAATATGAATTCAATAGAGAAAAAAATGGAAACTAAGGAAACATCCTAAATTATCTGAGTTCAGGAGAAAAATGTTTACATTTCAAGGAAAACAAAATGTTAAATCTGATTTGAGCAAAGCAAAACATTAGAATAGGAAATTAAAGCAAGGACCAGGGACAAATGGCTCAGATGGACCTGGCCGAGGAGAATGTTCTAAAACTTTAAACAACTGATGAGTCAGGTGGCATTCAGCCTACTCCAGAAATTACTGGAAACAGAAATGCTTGCTCCTGGGTGTTGTCCTTAGGTTGGGATGCATTGAAGCTTTCCTGAAGGGTTCATGAAGGTGAGTGTGATCATGGGCACAGTTTGCTTCAGAGGAGTCCAAGGGCCATTCTACAATCTTCTAGAGCCCTTGAAACCTCATTCGCATCTCCTTCTTTTTCCAAAGCTGAGGCACAACTGAGTGGAAGCCTGAGTCTGACCACTGCTGCTTCAGGGTGTGGCTGTGTTGTTGCTCTGAATTCCATGGTCTCACCCTCTCCCGGATGCTGCCCCTCTCTTTAGGTGGCTGTGGAAGAACTACCAATATGTGCTGGCCTTCCGCTTTGCCATCCAGGAGATCAATAAGGACTCCCAGCTCCTCCCCAACCTGACCCTTGGTTTCAAATTCTTCAATGCCTTTGCCAGTGAACAGTACACCTTACTGAGCATAGTATATTGGTTGATTGGGATTAATGTGCCTTTCCCTAACTACACCTGCCATACACAAGGGAGACACGTTGCTGTCATTGCTGGAACTACATCAGCATTGTCTGTTGAGTTTGGAACGCTTTTGGAGCTCTACAAAAACCCACAGGTAAATGAGCTGTGAATCTGGAGGGCAATAGTTAAATTTCCTCCAACACCATTCTCTCACCTCTGAAAAATGGAAATGGGGCAGCCGAGTATACATACCACACCATGGTATAGGAGAGATCCCATGGATTTCCTAAGGATGTGAGATTATTAACAGGGGAAGGAGAAGGGAGAAAGGGAAATAGCAGGGCCTGTTGACAGCCTTCTTAAGATTCCTGTCTAGGGCCTGTGTAACCATCTCCCACCTGCTGGAAGCATAGGCTGTCTAATAGTCTCACCTCTACACTTCATAATGTCCACAGCACACAGATGTTCCCCATCCAAGGACAGCACCATCTCAGGTGGCATCCAGAGACCTAGGACAGTTGGATATAGGGAATGCATCTGGGTCCCCTTTGGGAAAACAATGAGGGTAACAGACAGTGAAAAATATTTTTTAAAGACTTCTATATTTGTTTATCTAAAAGGCAAAGCAATGGAGAAAGATGGAAAGTCACATACACATACACATACACATACACATACACATACACATGGCATTGGAGTGGATCTCCAAACCACAGGGTCACTCCCCAGATGCCCACAACAGCTAGATCTGAGCCAGCCAGCAGCCAGCAGCCAGGATTTCCCTCCTGTTATACCACATGGTAGAAAGGGGCCTAGTACTTTTGTTATACATTGCTGACTCCTCCAGTACAACAGCAGGCAAGTAGATCAAAAGCAGATTATCCAGGACTTGAACTGGCACTTAGAAGTGGGATGCTGGTATCATCAGTGGTAGGCTAACACACAGTGCCACTATGCTGGCTCCACCATGGAGTGTTGAGACTCACATCTTGCTACACTGGAGCTCAACCGATCATGTTCCCAATGCTAATTAGTCACAAGCACACAGGTTGATTTTTCTCAGGATTCCCAGTGGCCATGCCATCTACAACTGTGCATATCAGAACTGTGGACATGGGTTTATTCCAATCTTTGGGAGACAGGGAAGTAGCCAGGCAGACAAGGAGCTCTATTATAAACAACTCAGCTGATTTGCTTACCAAATGTCTGACATGGTGTTGGGCTTAGTCTACCATTGCACATGTGTAGAACCAGGAAGTCATTCCACATGAATGCCATGACCCAGTGAGTTGAGTCATTATCACTGCCTCCCCAGGTCTGTGTCAGTATCTCAAAAATACTTCCCCAGGGACCCACTATACAAGCAACAATCAGAACATGTGCCTGTCAAACATAGGCCATATGGTGAGCAGAGGATTCTGGATTGGAAAAAATATTTTGCCCCAAATGAAAAAAGGTTGGTGATTATATTCTTGGAGACAATGCAGGTTTCCTGTGGTAATCAATGCACTCCAAATACCAAGAGATCAACACAGTAGAGATTTCTGTCTCAGAGTTATCTACAATGGTGGCTGCTGGAGGAGGTGGCTCTACTCCACCAGTCACCCTTGGCAAGGATGGGTGAAGCAACATCCAAAGTTCCTTCTTCCTCAGGCCCCACTGCAGGACATGAAGAGCATACAGATACTGACAGATTTTCTTTAAAGCTATGAAGGAGGAGTCACATTTATTCACCTAAAGCAATGGGCATGCGAAGCATGGTCTTCTCTGTGGCCAGAGTAGCAAGATTTTTCATCTCTACTGCACTCTTTCTTTTCACACAATAGTAACCTATTTAAAGTTGACCTTGGGGAGAAATTCTTTTCACTCACTTCCAAGAGAGATAACACAAATCCTACAAAAGTTTGATCATGTTTTTCTTTGCTTTCAGCTCACCTATGGCCCTTTTGATCCCATGCTAAATGATAAAGATCAGTTTCCCTCACTCTATCAGATGGCAACCAGTGACAGCTCTTTGGGCCATGGAATGATCTACTTGTTGCTGCATTTTGGCTGGACTTGGGTGGTGCTCTTTGTGTCTGATGACATGAAAGGAGAGCAGTTCCTTCAGTATTTTGAAGCAGAGATGCTCAAGAAAGGTATCTGTGTGGCCTTTACAGTTAAGCTCCCTGTCACAAAGAAGTTGTATGGGTATGGTGATCTCACTTTCATGAGTAGCATCAGAGTTTCATCTGCAAATGTGCATATACTCTATGGTGATGTAAGAGGTCTCATCAGTGTGGACATTTCAGTGCAGTCCTTTGTAACCATCGGGAAAGTGTGGATCATGACATCAAAGTGGGATCTTGTTATGTCTGAGACAAACCACATGTTGCATTCTTGGCACGGAGGCTTCTCATTTTCACCCCACAAGGAAGAAATTCCTGGCCTCAAACATTTTGTCAAGATGGCAAACCCTTCCCACTACCCAGAAGACTTTTATTTCAGTAAATTATGGCTTTTCCATCTGCACTGCTCACTTGAAGGATCATTTTGTGGACATATTGGAAGCTGCCCACCAAATACCTCCTTAGAGTTTCTTCCAGGACATATTGACTTGCTGACCATATCTGACTCCAGCTATTTAATCTACAATGCTGTCTACACAGTGGCCCACGTCCTCCATAAAATGATTTTGGAGAAAGTAGAAATGGGATCTCCAGGAGAAGCAATACAACCTATGATTCTTCCCTGGCAGGTAAACCTCCCCTAAAACAGAACAGAAAGTTGCCACCTGATGGAATCTAGAGATGTTGTATTGAGATACAGCATCATGACCCTGCTATCTTCTCAAGGTCAGAGAGATTAGGTACATCAGAAGTTGGGTTCTTTCCATTGGTTATTGGTATATCTGTGATTGTTGGCTTTGGCTGGAAATTTCAATCTCTATGGATTTTGAATGGTTACTTTCTGAACAGAAATGGTATCAGAAAAGTTTGTAATGTAGGCTGAAATGCTGCAATACGTGAGAAAATTTGACAGATAAAAAGTTGTCATGCCATAATATTCCTTGGAATTTATACAAAGCCAAAAAGACGTATTGATAAATTATTTTTCATTTCTATAAATTTTTCATTTGTAAAATTTAACAATTTTGACATCCTGCCACATGTACATCAAAGGTACATATTTTATATATATCCATATCTACAGTTTTTTCTTGGAATAAGGATATTAATATCACAAGGAGAGTGATTGATGACAATGTTGCTAGTACAGGAAGATAAGGGTATATGTCATATACACCGTATGCTTCAGTGAAACAACATACCAAATGCTAGGATACTGTCACAATGTTTATACTCTGTATATTAACTTCCACAAATCAGAAAAACATATGATATTTGCCTTTCTGGGCCTGGAGTACTTCACTCAGCATAGTGATCTTCAGTTCCATGTATTTTGTTGCAAATATCGTTCAAATCTGACAGCAGTTTAATTTGATTTATAATCCTGCATAACCTGTGGCCTAAGCCCTGGATGAGATAAGATACTTTTTGTGAAAACAGAAATGGATTTCACATAATATCCTAAACATGATAGGAAATGGATGGGAAATGAAGCATGTTAGACCAACTGCCCTTACAAACTCTGCAGCAATCAGGGAGCATGGACTGTAGTCCCATTTCTTACATATGAGACTACTGAGGATGCACATGAGCACAGGATTTGCCTGCTCAGTCAGCTGAATATTTCTGGGTTTAACCCTGGCTTACATGAATCCATTCCCCACATATAGAATGTATTTAGAAAATTCTGTTTGCATGTGCAAAGGACAAATACGCTCATAAATTTGTAGGATATATTAAATAAGGGTGATGTGTAGAAAAAGTAAAATATTTGTAAAAATTAGCATCAGAACATTTACTTAATAATCAAATTGTATTTAAGCATTAGAAGTATGTTTTATAAACTACAGTATTAGAGTCAAACCTTGGGAAAGGAAATTAATTTTTCAAGAAGGCTTCCATAGATATAATTAATAAATTATTTGTAAATTTTGTCCTCTACATTATTTAAGAATTAACTGGTAAACTGTCCCTTGACAATCAGGTCATGGAATCTTTGAGTCTTTTTTTTTTTTTTTTGACAGGCAGAGTGGACAGTGAAAGAGAGAGACAGAAAGAAAGGTCTTCCTTTGCCATTGGTTCACCCCCCAATGGCTGCCATGGCCGGCGTGCTACAGCCGGCGCACCACGCTGATCTGATGGCAGGAGCCAGGTGCTTCTCCTGGTCTCCCATGGGGTGCAGGGCCCAAGCACTTAGGCCATCCCCCACTGCACTCCCTGGCCATAGCAGAGAGCTGGCCTGGAAGAGGGGCAACCGGGACAGAATCCAGTGCCCCAACCGGGACTAGAACCTGGTGTGTCGGCGCTGCAAGGTGGAGGATTAGCCTAGTGAACCACGGCACCAGCCTAGGTCATGGACTCTTGAAGACATTGATTCTAAAAGTGCCATTGTTACTTTTTACCGTGTATATCCTCTTTGTTTTGTTCTGTTGGTTTTTTTTCTCTGTTTTCTATCTCTCTCCCATTTCTCTTCTTCATACTGATAACTCTAGGTTACACAGAGTTATATTTATTTTAAGGCAATTGGGAAAAGATCCCAGATAAAAATAAGAGGGGAAATAAGAGATGGAGGAGGTAGTCTATAACTGTAAAACAGTTTGGTTCTGCATACAGTCATACAGACTGAGCTCTAATGGTACAGCCTAAGAACTAGTCATGGGGCTCCAAAACCATAAGAATTGGTGGTACAAATGCCATCTTCACTGTTAAAATGGTCATATTAAAAGTTAAAGGCAACAGATAGATCAGTCTAAGTTTAAAAAGGATGATATAATGATATAAGTAACATCAAGTACCTGGGAAAATAATATAATTAAAAAAGGAAGGAAAGACCAACATGGGAAGCAGTCCACACAGCAGACTCCTAGAATAACATTTGCTATAAATAACACTCTAACCTCAGAATCAACCCTAAGGCTTCCTTGTTGGGCTAAAAGGCCTGCGAGATCATTTCAGGCATGGAAAGCCAAGACATTGTGACAAAAAAATATCCTACACAGAGGATCTCTGTGAGACCTCAGAGGACAGAAAGAGTCATCAAAGAAGGAGACACTTTTCTCTGAAGGGAGGAAAGAACATCCACTTTGCTTATGGCCATGTCCAAATACCGATGGAATCTATGGTCAAAAAAAAGTCTTCCATAACCTTGGGAACCCATGGTAAGAGCCTCAGATGATCGCTGATATCATAAAAAGAGTGTTAATTATTAAAGGAACAACAGTAGTCACTGTGACTTGCTCCCCATGTAGGACCTCTGTCCCTAATGAATGTTAATATGAGAATTGACTGCAAATTCTCTCCCTAAACTGTACTCTATATGTTGTGTGTGTGCCTGGGTGCAAATTGTTAAAGTCTATGCTTAGCATGGTGTTGGTCCTCTGTTTATAAAGTCATACTAAAAATGAACCATAATGAAGAAGGAGATAGGAGAGGGAAAGGGAGGTGGGATGGTAGCTGGGGGGGAGGGGGGCTATGGGGGAAAGAACCACTATATTCATAAAGTCGTATCTATGTAAAAATGCACTCATTAGCCGGTGCTGTGGCTCACTAGGCTAATCCTCCGCCTGCGACACCGGCACTCTGGGTTCTAGTCCCAGTTGGGGCGCCGGATCTAACCCAGTTGCTCCTCTTCCAGTCCAGCTCTCTGCTGTGGACTGGGAAGGCAGTGGAGGATGGCCCAAGTGCTTGGGCCCTGCACCCACATAGGAGACCAGGAGAAAGCACCTGGGTGTCCTGGCTTTGGAGGGGCACAGCATGCTGGCCATAGCGGTCAATTGGGGGGTGAATTAACGGATAGGAAGACTTTCTCTCTCTCTCTCTCACTGTCTGCTCTGCTTGTCAAAAAAATGTATTCATTAAATAAAAATTAAAAAATTAAAAACACAATTAAGTGATAGTTGTTTAAAAATAACAACTTAGTTGTATCCCAGTACAGATGTGTTGTGATCTAGAAGGTTCAAGGTTAACACATACTATAAAAGCATAATAAGCTTTCATAGATTTGAAATTTTGTCTTTGGTCATACCATACTATCTGATATGTCAAAGATAGTCACAGTCATCACAATAAGTGACCCAAAGCCAAGGAGATAAAGAACACCATGTTGTGTCATGTTCAACCAGTGTTAAGGTATAAGTATACCTTAAAAGGTATAATGTATATTGCTGATATACATAATATACATATCTTATAGATATGGACTTCTGAGGTATTACAGTGGCTTTGAGTCTCTTGATGGAAAATATATCTTATGAAACAATCATGCATTAATCTCTAATTTTTCCCCAACCAAAATACACTAATCATCAACTATATTTTGAACCTTATGAAGAACTTATGTAGATACACACCTATAATATTCATAACAGCTATCAAGTTATTTCAGTAGCCATCCATGTGCTGCCCAACTGGTAACAGTAGAGTTAGCTTCCATAAAGCCCCAACCAATCTTTCATGGCCAAAGCTTCAATAGAGTCTGTGCTCCAGTAAACCTCTGGACCACTAACTTTTCTGATTGGGGGCAATCACTCTTTGATGTTTTGTTGAGGGAGCAGAGGAATACCTTAACCCGGGAGATGTTTAAGCATCCAAAGAAAATTAATGTTCTACCAAATGGAAAAGCTGAATGCAAAAGACAACAAAGAGGGCTTGTTTAGAGCATCTGACTTCCCGCAACTAATTTGGATGTGCTGTCTATTTCCAATTATGCCTGTCCTCCAGCTCCATCAATTTCTGAGGAAAATCCAATTTACAAACAGCGCTGGAGATAAAGTATCCTTCCATGAAACAAGAAACCACATGGCACATTATGATATCCAGAACGTTGTGAATTTTCCTAGTGGTCTTCGCTTGCTTATTAAAATTGGAGAGTTTTCCTCCAAGAGTCCACATGAACAAAGCTTACTTGTCAATGAAGAGATGATAGAATGGCCTGTTGCATTCAAAGTGGTATGATTCTCTTTTGATACGAGATACCCACAGAGAGATCTGCCAATAATCTTGTGAAGAGGTTAAGTGTGAAGTGATCAGGTTCTTTTGTAATACATGGGAAATAGGTTGGGGAAACAGAAATGGCAATCGTAGGAATGCTGAAATGGATGTCTAGGTATTAGTCACAGGTACAGGAGGAGGGGATATAGTCGTGACCTTCAATTGAAGGCCAAGGTGTTATGTAGTGAGGAGGGATCTACTGACACCCTTCACGGTGGCTGATAACATACCAAACCATGACCAGTGCTTCTCTTTTTTCTTCAGACCCCTCAATCTGTGTGTAGCCAGAGCTGTGGTCCAGGATTCAGGAAAATGTCACAGGAAGGAAGACCTATCTGCTGCTATACTTGTGTTTTGTGTCCAGAGAAAGAAATTGCCAATCAGACAGGTAGAAAATTTCCAATCCATATCTTTACTGTTCTAGTTATTTCTCCACAAAAGAGAAACCAAAGAGATTTGCAGTTAGTTCCTAGTGCATCATTGTTCTCTATGCACACATTTACTCATTCATTCAATATATCCATTTATGCTCACTAAAGATACTTTATGTTTAAGTTCTTCTCTGGTGATGCTCATTCTAGTAACGTCAACTGTAGCACTGATTCTAAAAGATATCACACCATGTTAGATAAGTCATCATCTGAGATTTGCAGGTGGAACTTGCTATATTTCCAACTGAGAAATGTAGGATGTATAATCATCAAGGCTTTCTATTGGTGCCTGTAAATCTTGAAACCAATTCATCTTACAAACACATGATAAGCACAGAGCTAGTGCTTGTATGTCATCATCGAAATACTGTATTCCTCCCTGCACTGTCTTTAATATTTTCCATGGAATTAAGGATGTCTAGTACCACAGGTACATTTAGATTTATAGAATTTATTAAAGGAAAGAGTCAAGGTGAAGTATGAATATCACATCCTACTAAAATATACAGTTTGGTATGCTCATAAAAACTTTTGAACAAGACAAACATAAAAATAATTACCTATCAAAATACATGTACCAGGTCGGTGCCATGGCTCAATAGGCTAATCCTCCACCTAGCGGCACCGGCACACCGGGTTCTAGTCCCGGTCGGGGTGCCAGATTCTGTCCCGGTTGCCCCTCTTCCAGGCCAGCTCTCTGCTATGGCCCAAAAGTGCAGTGGAGGATGGCCCAAGTGCTTGGGCCCTGCACACCATGGGAGACCAGGAGAAGCACCTGGCCCCTACCTTTGGATCAGCATGGTGCACCGGCCACAGTGCACCAGCTGTGGCGGCCATTGGAGGGTGAACCAACGGCAAAAGGAAGACCTTTCTCTCTATCTCTCTCTCTCTCACACACTCTCCACTCTGCCTGCAAAAAAAAAAAAATGTACCAAGAATGTAAAAAATGTGCTATATCTCACTGAGAAATACTTCCATTTTTTTAAAATATGGGAAATAGACCTTGTAATGATTTGATTTCCTCCAAAAAGGCTTCTCAATTCCTATTGTGTTAGCATTAGCAACCATTTGGTTTTAATCATTTCCTAGAGGAAATAAATAGTTTTGGCCATGAAGAAGATAACAGAACAAAGAGCTAATCTGTGCACAAAGGTTTTGCAAAAATTCAATAACAAATAAAAAGAATTTAAAAACATATGCTGGAAGCATGTTGTACAACAATACTTTCTTGTATGTACAAACACTGTAGAAAGTATCTAAGATTGAAGCCAGAGCACCTGGTGTCCCCAAGAAGAGAAATGGGTACTTCAAGATAAGAATGCCAGGAAGATTGACTCTAAATTACATTAGGATCTTGTATGGTTGAAGAAGTGTCATCTAAAAAGCTAAATCAAACCCTCATAACAAGTGTAGCTAGACCCCAATACCATCTTCTGTATTTAACTGAAACAGAGATATACCCATTCATTGACTTGTCTCTATGACTTATTTCTTGCTGCATTGGCAAGAAAATGTTATTTCAATAAATAGAGAAAACATGGTATCCAGAGCTGAATTTGTTCCCCACCTTCCACAAGAACAATGGGGTAACAAGTTATGATTTCATAGAATGAGTGAAAAGTTCCAATACAAAATAAAAAATTTCTCAGAGTTTCAGAATGATATACTGCTATAAATGATCTGTGATTTCTTTACATTTAGCATGTATAAGTGAAACAGGCACTTTTATTTGGGTAATTTTTATATCCATTTCCTACAATTCCCACTGATCTATAGTCTTATTACTTTTTACTTTTTGAACTCTTGATTCAGTGGAGTTTTAAGACTTTGACTTAATGTAAATTAAAAATATGCTATTTCAAAAATTAAAAAAGGAAGGAATGAAGGAAGGAAGAAAAAGGAAGGAAAGAAGAAGGGAAAAGAGAAAAAAGAAAGGAAGGGAGGTGGAATGGAGGAATAAATCATCTTAAAATTGTACCAGTGAATGGAATGGAATCTCTTCTGCTTCTATTAATATCACATTAACATGAGAATTGATGAGAATTGTATTATACTAATTATCATGCACTTGCTATGACCCTGAGAATGCAATGTATTAATTCATTTTGAAATTTATATTATATACTAACTTGAAAAATATCTAATTTCTCCATCAATAACTGGGTAAAATATCAATTACATCCAAATTGCTTTATTTTCAGAACACCTCTATTCAAATCCAAATGTTGTTTATTCAATAAAATGCACCTTAAGATTCCATTAAAAATTGACAAAAGGATTCCCAAGGAAATGAAAATATAAAATGAGGAAAGATTGTTCTGCCAGATATCAAGCTAATAACTGTAGTACTGATGGCTGTAAGGTTATCTTAGGAGTTTGGGGTTGTTTATTTCTGTGTCTGAGCTACAGAGATACAGGGTGTGGCATGAGGCTGACTTAGGGGATAGAACAGAGAAAGGCTGGGAAGCATCCATGCCCATGGGAACAGGACTGTGTCACAGGATAAGTCAACCTAGTCCCCATATGCTGAAGGTGTTGTTTGAATGAGTTTGTTCCAATCTGCAGATGGGCATCCTCCCTGGACAGCAATGCAGAAACTTGATCAGGTGTACCCTGCTATATATCACAAGCTCCCAGCAGCATTGCAGTTGACCATTTTCCACAACAGGAAGAAATCCAGAATTTCTACAAAGTAAACCTTCAGTTTTTCTCCTTCCTCAGATGCAAAGCAGTGCATCCCATGTGAAGATCACGAATACCCAAACCAGGATAGAAGTCACTGCCTCCCTAAGTTGATGACGTTCTTGGACTTTGAGGAATCTCTGGGGATGGCTCTGGCCTGCATGGCTCTGTGCTTCTCTGTCCTCACAGCTGCGGTCCTCTGGGTCTTTGTGAAGCACCAAGACACTCCCATAGTCAAGGCCAATAACAGGACCCTCAGCTACATCCTGCTCATCACTCTCTTCCTGTGCTTCCTCTGCTCCTTACTCTTCATTGGCCGTCCCAACACAGCCACCTGCCTCCTCCAGCAAATAGCATTTGGCCTTGTGTTCACAGTGGCTGTTTCCACTGTGCTGGCCAAGACCATCACTGTGATTCTGGCCTTCAAGGTTACAAAACCTGGCAGAACTGTCAGGCGATTGTTGATATCAGGAGTTTCTAACTCTGTCATTCCCATCTGCTTCCTCCTCCAACTGATTCTCTGTAGCATCTGGCTGGGAATCTCTCCTCCCTTCATTGAGTTAGATACACACTCTGAGCCTGGCCACATCATCCTGGTGTGCAATAAGGGTTCGGTCACTGCCTTCTACTGTGTCCTGGGCTACCTGGGTTCCATGGCCCTGGCCAGCTTCACTGTGGCTTTTCTAGCCAGGAATCTGCCTGACACTTTCAATGAAGCTAAGTTCCTTACATTCAGCATGCTGGTGTTCTGCAGTGTCTGGGTGACCTTCCTTCCTGTCTACCACAGCACCAAGGGGAAGGTCATGGTGGCTGTGGAGGTCTTCTCCATCTTGGCCTCCAGTGCGGGGCTCCTGGGCTGCATCTTTGTCCCCAAGTGCTATGTTATTCTCATAAGACCTGAGATGAACTCTTTGAAAGGCTTAAAGAATAAAAGCAAGTTCTAAAGGATTCTAAAATTTTTCCACTTGTTTTGCTATCACATATTCAGAGTTTAGAACCATGAATCCAGACTGAAGTAGCAATCCAGAAATAATGAAGGAACTAAAGTTGGTTTTTTTCCTTTAAAAACTATTTATGTATTGGACATACAGCCTAGCAGTCTGAGTGCATGGCATCAATTTCTGGCTCTGGCTTTGGCTCCTGACCTGGACTTCTGATTCCTGGGGACCCTGGAAGGCAGTGGTGAATCTTCACGTAACTTGGTCCTGTCCAACCATATGAAAATCTAGGGTCTGACTGACTGTTGTTGGTTGTAGCCTCATCCCAGGCACAGGCATAGGGGGTGTAGAGATGTGAGGCATTGAATGGGAGGTCTCTCTGTCTCTGTCACTAACCTTCTGTTTCTCTCCCTCTCAGAGTTAGTAATGGGAGTTTAGAGAAAATTTTTATATCGAGTAAAAATAAATTATGGTGTAAATGCCCATCAAGGCTACAACAACAATGCTATTTTATATTAAAAGGCTATCACTGAAATAGTTGAGATGAATTAATTTCTATTTATTTATCAGTGTATAGACAATGTAAGTGCTCATATATGTGAGGACATCTAATTAAACATGCTTTGCATTCTGTTTGCCCTGGCTACTGAGTGCTTGTCATTTCTTTGTTGACATTGTGATTTAAGTGAGATTTCTTTCCCAGATACGGGAGGTGATTGGTCATGCAGTGTTCCTCTGTTGAGATACTGTGTTGTCCAAAAATATCTTAATAAATACTCATTGTTGAACTATTTTGAAGTGGTGCTTTTATAACACATATATGGAATATCCACTTACACATGGCACTGAATCAGTAACTGTATGTTCTTCCGCCAATATATTGTTTTTTTATTTTTGTCTTTGCTTTAAATTTTCTTTTTCCAATTGCATATGGGACACAATGCTGTTTGGATTAACGTGAAATTCTCATAGCTAAGATGAACCAATTTTAAACTGGACAAGTCAAAAGCATTTAAGTGCATGCATATTCATATTGAACATTCAGATTATGCACAGTATGTTCACACATTCAGGCAGTAGTCTTCTCTAAGTGGACTGAAGGGTTTTCATCACCCTATAAAAATTTCTTTATGTAATAAGAAGTCACTTTCAAACTCATATCATGCAACCAATCATCTCCATATGTTTCTATGAATTCACATTTTATGAATAATTCTGACAAGTGGCAACAGTCAATATGTGGCTTAGGAGTCTTGGTTCAAACCCATACACATTGCACCATCATCACTTATTCCTTTTTCAAACTGTATAATTTTCCATCTCACAGATTTTTACCATTCTTTTTTGCAATTTTATTGTTTCATTTTTCTGCTCAACCTAATATTTTGTTATTTTTGAGATAGCATAGTTTTAGTTTGCATTTGACTCAAAAGCTTAAAGCTCCACTAAATAAAGCGTTCAACAAGTACCAAGCAAGAAGACCATAGTTCTGCAGGAATATAGGCAGGGGCTATAAACAATAATCCAATGAAAAATGTTCAACTTCCCTCACATACAGCAAATTTTAAAATAGCCATAGAACATTCATAGTGTAGTAGTGTGTAGTTATTAATAATTTGTTCAACAAAGTTTTAAAACAAAGTAAGGCAAAATACTATATTTGCAGCCAAAATGATATAAACAGACATATTTCTTTCCTTTATTTTTCTTCACAACCAAAATGAATTTTTTCTTAGATTTCCCCAGAACCCTTTTATTTAAGGTATCTAAACTTGACACATTTCATAAAAACAACTTTAGGAATGTTATGATTTTTCCCACGCTACCTGTCCTTGCACCTACACTTCTACTCTTCTTCCTCCTTCCTCTCCTATTCCCATTCTTAATTTACACTAAGATTTATTTTCAATTAACTTTATACACCTAAAATTAATTCTATATTAAGTAAGAGTTCAACAAATAGTATGAAAAACAAACTGTTCCTCAACAATTGACACAAGGGCTGTCCAAAGTTATCGGATATCAAATTGCTATTTTAAATTTTCATCTTGTGACTATTTTAAAAATGCTAGCTACCACATTTAAGGGAGAATCTGTGTTATTTGTCTTTCTGTCTACCATATTTATTTTATCCAACAGCCCACAGCAGGACATTCATTTTTTTACACCTTGTTACAGGTATAAACTGGTCCTCCATAAAGTCTTCCATAGCGGCTTTATCAGCTTACATTCCCACCAACAGTGCATTAGGGTATGTTTTTCCCCACATCCTCACCAGCATTTCTTGTATTTGAAAGTCAGATTACACAGAGAGAGGAGAGGCAGAGAGAGAGAAAGGTCTTCCATCTACTGGTTCACTCACCAGTTGGCTGCAATGGCCAGAGCTGCATGGATCCAAAGCCATGAGCCAGGAGCTTCTTCTGGGTCTCCCACATGGGTGCAGGGCCCAAGGACTTGGGCCATCTTCCACTGCTTTCCCAGGCCATAGCAGAGAGCTGGATCGGAAGTGGAGCAGCCAGGAGTCAAACTAGTGCCCAAGTGGGATGCCGACACTACAGGTGGCAGCTTTATCAGCTACACCACCATGCCGACCTCAGGATTTGATTTTTGAAATCAATCTTTTCACATATTTACTGATTTACTTGCTTACTTATTTATTTAGAAAGGCATAGGGGCCGCGAACAAGAGAGACAGACCCAAAGAGCCATCTTGCATCAGCTGGTTCTTTCCACTGCTTTCCCAGACCCATCAGGGAGCAGGATTCAAAGTCTACCAGTTGGAACTCCAACCTGGCCCTCTATGGGATGTGGGCATTTCCAGAGGTGGCTTAATTCACTGGGCCACAGTACCAACACAGTTTCTACTTTAGCCTATTAAAACCAATGTCATATGCAAAATTATATATATGGAAACTTTCTAATTTTTACATACAGAAAATGCTTCCCGCATATATTTTCCCTTGGCCTGTGGCTTATCCACTGATGGGATTGTCTACTGGTGGAAGTCATTGCATTTTTCCCAGGATCCGTGGATTTCCCAATGAGTTGGTTGTCCACTGTCTTTCTCTATAAAGGACGAGCCAGAAGGCAAAGTTCCAGCATTTTCCAAGGATCCACAGGCTGTGCACATCCCACACTGAGGGCAGCCAGGCAAACCTTGTGACCATGGGAAAACCTGTATTGTTCTCATCTCCAAGCCAGCCCTCCCTAGTGAGTAGAGAAGTATTGTGAACGCAGAGTGTACACTGGTGTACTTTTTCCTTCACTGAAATTTCTCTGAGTAACTCACAGAATTTTTTCTTAAGATTTACTAATTTATTTGGAAAGCTGAGTTACTGGGTGGTGGGAGGGTAGAGAAGCCCTCCATCTGCTGGTTCACTCCAAACATGGCCACAACTTCAAACAGTATTATCTCCATGGTTTTGAGTGACAGTCAATGTCATCTACTCTTTGTTATGTGAACTTTCTTGGGATCAGAGACCAGATTGTTCTGAAACGTTTCTTAATTTATTTCAAAGAAAGAGTTACTGAGAGCAATTGTAAGAGCAAGTGAGAGACGTTCTTCTGTCCTCCCCTTCTCTCATTCACTCTCTGTCACTCTGCTATCAAATAAAAACGAACTCTAAAACACACAGCTTTTCCTTCTCATCCTCACAAACCGCTCATGCCCCAAGCCTTCTGGATGTCAGCGGTGTACAGTGTAAGGCAGTTTCGCCCAGAAGGGGAGGTGGAGGCAGCTGGGACCCCATCCATGGATGGCGGTCTGTGTCTTCCACTCTGCTCAAGTTTGGTTTTGCTTTTCAAGAGGAGGCTGAGAAGAACAATGATTCCTGAGACCTTTCGAAGGAAGCAAGAAGCGTATGTGATGAAGACCAAGCTGAGACCCGGCACAGGCTCCGCAATGCTGCTCAGACCAGCTGCGCCTTCCAGAGCCCAGTTACTCGAGTTACTGCCCTCTCGGGCAATGCATTCCAGCGCCACCAGCCGAGGGGAACCTGGAAAAGCCCCAGCAGGTCTGTGCACTCAGGTGGCTGCAGGGCTCTGAGCCAGCAGCAGCGAGCGAGAGCCTTTACCCAGTTTGAATTTTGCAAATGCCTGGAAGATGACAGCACCGGCAATCCCAAGCAGAGCCCCAGGACCGGCTGGTGCTGTGGGTCTGCAGTCCAGGCCCACGCCCATGCCCACCCCTGGGCCAGCCTCGGAAATGACTTTGATGGTTCCACCCGCAGATCCAGGGGTTTCCTGGTCTTTCTACAGCCGGCAGGTAACTCCTACGGACATCCAAAGGAAGACAAGGAAAGTGAAGAAGCTGAGTAGGAGACTTGCTGAGGCCCTGAATGCAGACAAGATCATCAGAGAGGGAGAGAAGGCGGGAAGGGGAGACTGACGGGGCAGAAGCTGGAGAGAAGGAGCAGCCACGTGGTGCAGGCACTGTGGGGGCAAGGAACCCCCCCCCAAGAAAGAGCTTTCCATGTAATGCCAGTCCCACCCTCTTCGCTGATCCTGTAATCCCCAACTGTTCTTTATGAAACTCTTTAGACTGAAACTGTGGAGTGCACCTCTTTTTATGGATGACAGGATAGGTTTCCCATAAGAAAGGAACTCTTTCAATAGTTCAGTTTTTCTTTACAATACCTTTTCTTTATTTTAATATCAAAGTCTACATGGATAATATAGCATGAGGGATTATATAGTATTTGATACAATTTTTTTTCTTACAATACATAATGTTCAAGGGTAAGATATCTGCTCCTATGAGATTTTCTTCATGTTATGGCCATTTGAGTCAGATTAAAACCCTGATTACTTTCCTGGTTCCTGGGTTCAGCCTTGCCCTACTTGGGCTTGGGGGCCATTTCGAGAGTGAGTCAGCATATGGAAGATCTCCCTCTCTCCCCCTCTCCAATTAAATTATATATATATATATATATATATATATATGACTTTTTAAACAATTAGAGGTGAGAACAGGCAGCAGCCATAAAGCTCAACTTTGCCCTATTCAATGCAACCTCAATGTAAACTATTTTAACTGGTATTATCACAGTTGTTGACACGAGTGGCATTCAATGGATCTTCTTAAAAGTTCTTAAAAGAACTTACAGAATAAAGGTCCTCAAGAATTTATTGCAAAAAAAAATGTATTAAGGACATAGGTTATAACATGATTGTTTCATGCTGAAACAAGCTAATCAAAAATGACCAAATATTATTATACAATGTAGAGTAGGCCTAGATAACATGGTTTGACTGTATGTGTTTAGGGCCCTACTATTCATGGCT